ACTGGAAATGGCTGCAATGCAGAGAATCAGGGGAAAGCTCCTACTCCTTAGACATTTTGCTGTCACCTTTTAAAATTTAACTCCAGAACAGTGAATGAGTAATACTTACAATACTCGGAGAGATTTAAGGCCATTAAATGCATGAACTGGAATACATCGTAACCTATTGTAGCTTAGGATCCTAGGGGAATAAAAGACCGCAGTTTATATTACTTTGCAACAAGTAACTGGAGCAGGAACAGAGTAGAAAACATTAACATAGAACAATTAAATACTTACTATTTAATGCAACTTACTTTACAATAAATAATAATTAGAGCCTATGTCAGAATCACTGGTTACTTACAGAGTTGATAGCTGTGTCATATTACTGAAGGTGTAATTGGCCAACATGCTGATACTATTGTTGCTCAAGTCGCTGAAAAAAAAATACATATAATATTCATTGATGCAATGAAAACAGAACTTTTCTTAAATTCAGCGCAAAACCAAAAAGCATAAACAAGTTCCTTCAAAGCAAACTATCAACTAATATTGTTATTGGGGATTATAATTACATTTTTTTTAAAAATATTACTTAAGATTTACCAATTACCCTAAGGCAAGCAGCTTTCAGGACAATTCATAAAAACACAAATAAAATCAGAAAGGTTTATTTTAAAAAATTAAGAGGGGAGTTTAAAATATAATAAACATCAATATATTTGACAATCTAGAACCAACAAGGCATAAAACCAGAAACAATAGTGGACAAGAAGTAAGAATTGTGAGGAGTGGATACTTCCCAAACTTTTCCAGGGAAGGCACTAAACAATAGAGATGCTACTTACGCTTGTAAGTAGATAATCACTGTGCCTTGTTGTATTTAAAGTAGACTTCTATTAATTAAGTTTGCAATAAATTCCCTCTTGATTTTGATTATATAAAGACACAAAAAGAATTATATGAAGGAAATGCTCTCTATTAAAGCTGGCACACTGACTTGAGCTTGGTAGGGTAACCTACCAGCTATAAAATAATAAAATACTGTCATATAAAACATTTTAAATTAATAAAATAAATACATTAGTACTAAACTCCTATGCTTAATGACATTCATGAAATAATTTAAAGAATTTTATTTTTTTAAAACTTAAGCCTAAATTGGAATTTAAGATATACCCAATAAACATATGACTAAACAAAATAATATATATTTGTATAAGACACAATATTGAACAGTAGAAGTAAACAAGATCTACCAATGATTGTTTCTACTAAAATTGAAGTGTCATGCTTGTTTTCTTCTTAGATGTGATAAATTGGAATTTAAAATATACCCAATAAACATATGACTAAACAAAATAATATACATTTGTATAAGACACAACACTGAACAGTAGAAGTAAGCAAGATCTACCAATGATTGTTTCTACTAAAATTGTGGTGTCATGCTTGCTTTCTTCTTAGGTGTGATAAATAGAGGATTGGTCCAAAAAATTTGAATTGTATTCAAAAGTCTCAAAATAGTAATTTACTGATGATCTCTTTTAAAAGTTTGTGTGTGTGTCTTTGTGTGTGTGTTTGTGTGTACATTGTATTTCCAGAAAAAATAAATTTCACAATATAAACAATGTTTTTGTGTTTCCTCAAACAATGTATGAAGGTATCTGCCAATCACAGCTATTGCTGCACTGCAACACCCAATGCTGCAACATTTGTGTATTGCTATATTATTGCTGTCATGAAATGTTGGTATACTTACATTAATGTTAAATGTCGGAACATAGAAAGTTCCTTTGGCACAGCGGATAAATGGTTTCCTTCCAGGTATCTGAAAATCAGTTATATTGGATAAACTGTTAAGAATAATCATTGGTTTTTTGCACAAAGAAAAACAAAACAATCTGAATTATTACAGCTGACATCAAACATTTCAGAAAGATTTAATTGCAAACAATAATATGAATTCCATCAATAAAAATGTGTAGATTAGAAAAAACGTAGACTATGCATTTAAGGCTTGGACTAGGATCTTCAGCCAAAGAAGTTCACAAGGTCCCTTTGGGCCAGTCTCCATAATTGTGTACAACCTACCCATAGGTCTATTATTGAAACAAATTGCAGTTTAATAGTGGAATGAATTATTCAATAGATGATAGGTTCCCAAGCCTCATGTAGCGGGGCAGGACTAAGGAAGCAAAAACTACACAGATTTCTTTAATACTTGGAAACTAATAGGAGTTTATCCCTCTTATTGAGTTAATTAAGGTGGAGTCTTTTTTAAGATATTGAGATATTGAATTGTGTTGCTATTTCAAATCAAATCAAATCAAATCTTTATTACAATTAAAGACCAGCATAGCTACTTATGAGATAAACTGTCTACTGACTTGCCTTCTGCTATTTCTTCCATTCCCATCCCAGGCTTGCCTCAACTTCATGCACAAATTCTCCTTCACTATATATTGATATAGAGGTTAGATAATCTGTTGGGGGTGCTTTGATTTGGAACATGGGACTGAATTTGATCTCCTTTCTTCCAATTATATGGTTCTTCCTGAGGCCTTTTGTTGGAACTGATCACTAAATAAATTTGTTAGTCAAGATTCCTTCCCATTATTCTATTCAATGAGAATATTAAGAAGCAAAATGGAACATTGCAATACAAAAGAAATATAGAAATACATAAATGTGCATGTATGCAAACACTGTCTGTCTGTCTCACATGCACGCACGCACGCACGTGCACGCACACACACACACACACACACACACACACACACANACTGGAAATGGCTGCAATGCAGAGAATCAGGGGAAAGCTCCTACTCCTTAGACATTTTGCTGTCACCTTTTAAAATTTAACTCCAGAACAGTGAATGAGTAATACTTACAATACTCGGAGAGATTTAAGGCCATTAAATGCATGAACTGGAATACATCGTAACCTATTGTAGCTTAGGATCCTAGGGGAATAAAAGACCACAGTTTATATTACTTTGCAACAAGTAACTGGAGTAGGAACAGAGTAGAAAACATTAACATAGAACAATTAAATACTTACTATTTAATGCAACTTACTTTACAATAAATAATAATTAGAGCCTATGTCAGAATCACTGGTTACTTACAGAGTTGATAGCTGTGTCATATTACTGAAGGTGTAATTGGCCAACATGCTGATACTATTGTTGCTCAAGTCGCTGAAAAAAAATACACATAATATTCATTGATGCAATGAAAACAGAACTTTTCTTAAATTCAGCGCAAAACCAAAAAGCATAAACAAGTTCCTTCAAAGCAAACTATCAACTAATATTGTTATTGGGGATTATAATTACATTTTTAAAAAAATATTACTTAAGATTTACCAATTACCTTAAGGCAAGCAGCTTTCAGGACAATTCATAAAAACACAAATAAAATCAGAAAGATTTATTTTAAAAAATTAAGAGGGGAGTTTAAAATATAATAAACATCAATATATTTGACAATCTAGAACCAACAAGGCATAAAACCAGAAACAATAGTGGACAAGAAGTAAGAATTGTGAGAAGTGGATACTTCCCAAACTTTTCCAGGGAAGGCACTAAACAATAGAGATGCTACTTACGCTTGTAAGTAGATAATCACTGTGCCTTGTTGTATTTAAAGTAGACTTCTATTAATTAAGTTTGCAATAAATTTCCTCTTGATTTTGATTATATAAAGACACAAAAAGAATTATATGAAGGAAATGCTCTCTATTAAAGCTGGCACACTGACTTGAGCTTGGTAGGGTAACCTACCAGCTATAAAATAATAAAATACTGTCATATAAAACATTTTAAATTAATAAAATAAATACATTAGTACTAACTCCTATGCTTAATGACATTCATGAAATAAAGAATTTTCTTATTTTTAAAAAATTTAAGCCTAAATTGGGATTTAAGATATACCCAATAAACATATGACTAAACAAAATAATATATATTTGTATAAGACACAATATTGAACAGTAGAAGTAAACAAGATCTACCAATGATTGTTTCTACTAAAATTGAAGTGTCATGCTTGTTTTCTTCTTAGATGTGATAAATTGGAATTTAAAATATACCCAATAAACATATGACTAAACAAAATAATATATATTTGTATAAGACACAACATTGAACAGTAGAAGTAAGCAAGATCTACCAATGATTGTTTCTACTAAAATTGTGGTGTCATGCTTGCTTTCTTCTTAGGTGTGATAGAGGATTGGTCCAAAAAATTTGAATTGTATTCAAAAGTCTCAAAATAGTAATTTACTGATGATCTCTTTTAAAAGTTTGTGTGTGTGTCTTTGTGTGTGTGTTTGTGTGTACATTGTATTTCCAGAAAAAATAAATTTCGCAATATAAACAATGTTTTTGTGTTTCCTCAAACAATGTATGAAGGTATCTGCCAATCACAGCTATTGCTGCACTGCAACACCCAATGCTGCAACATTTGTGTATTGCTATATTATTGCTGTCATGAAATGTTGGTATACTTACATTAATGTTAAGTGTCGGAACATAGAAAGTTCCTTTGGCACAGCGGATAAATGGTTTCCTTCCAGGTATCTGAAAATCAGTTATATTGGATAAACTGTTAAGAATAATCATTGCTTTTTTGCACAAAGAAAAACAAAACAATCTGAATTATTACAGCTGACATCAAACATTTCAGAAAGATTTAATTGCAAACAATAATATGAATTCCATCAATAAAAATGCGTAGATTAGAAAAAATGTAGACTATGCATTTAGGGCTTGGACTAGGATCTTCAGCCAAAGAAGTTCACAAGGTCCCTTTGGGCCAGTCTCCATAATTGTGCACAACCTATCCATAGGTCTATTATTGAAACAAATTGCAGTTTAATAGTGGAATGAATTATTCAATAGATGATAGGTTCCCAAGCCTCATGTAGCGGGGCAGGACTAAGGAAGCAAAAACTACACAGATTTCTTTAATACTTGGAAACTAATAGGAGTTTACCCCTCTTATTGAGTTAATTAAGGTGGAGTCTTTTTTAAGATATTGAGATTTTTTTCTCACAGATTTTCCCCCACCTGAATTGTGTTGCTATTTCAAATCAAATCAAATCAAATCTTTATTACAATTAAAGACCAGCATAGCTACTTATGAGATAAACTGTCCACTGACTTGCCTTCTGCTATTTCTTCCATTCCCATCCCAGGCTTGCCTCAACTTCATGCGCAAATTCTCCTTCACTATATATTGATATAGAGGTTAGATAATCTGTTGGGGGTGCTTTGATTTGGAACATGGGACTGAATTTGATCTCCTTTCTTCCAATTATATGGTTCTTCCTGAGGCCTTTTGTTGGAACTGATCACTAAATAAATTTGTTAGTCAAGATTCCTTCCCATTATTCTATTCAATGAGAATATTAAGAAGCAAAATGGAACATTGCAATACAAAAGAAATATAGAAATACATAAATGTGCATGTATGCAAACACTGTCTGTCTGTCTCACATGCACGCACGCACGCACGCACGCACGCACACACACACACACAGAGAGAGAGAGAGAGAGAGAGAGAGAGAGAGAGAGAGAGAGAGAGAGAGAGA